ATTTTATTAGAGTAATGATTATTTATTGAATTGGTATTTGACTGCGTTTAATTATGCAAAGTATTCACGGCGATTAATTATTTACTCGGTTATGTTCAGTTGGTCTGCTCACCTAGCCAGCGGGGTGGCGTGAATTGAGGCTAAAACACTGTGCACGGAAACGCGAGCATTGTGGCCAGCAACGTTATAAACGTTTGATAGCCTGCTTGCCAATCCAGGTAATATGTATATATCTGTTTGACGATTAGTTATCAACAATGAATGAAACCAATAAAACTGATGGACACACTTTGCATAACGATCGAAAGTGTGCATGTAAAATATCGAATCGATCCGGACAAGTCTCTTCGAATGCATACACTGCACTACCCAGTACCAACGTTCTTTTATCACCTAATAAATAGTCGATGCATTCCACCAATTCACTTTGTAATCCTTCATCCAACGCGTACAGTTTCGGGATAGCATGAGCTGCCACCTGAATTCATCGCTGATTATCATTATCACCGTTACTATTCGTCAGATTTCTATCGGTATCAGTCTCAATCACCACTATCACCATCAACCAATACTGAACACTACGATCTTTACAAAATTCAAATCTTTGCAAAAGCGTTCAATTTGTCCACTTTTGGGAACTGAAATTGAAAACCCCACTTTACTCTATGCTCTGATTGCAGTCAATTCAATTAAACTCTGAAATTAATGATACAATTCAAAACAGAATAAAATCTAACGTAACAAATAAGTGAAACTTAAATGGATAATGAAAGTGAATACGTAATTTTGAATTAATGAATAAAAACCTTTCTGACATACGCAGACATATCACGAACTGATTCACGTATCGCCAGTAACATTATGGGTGCGATCATCGGTACACGTATACTTGACAGTACTCGTAGTGCACTCGCTCGTATCAACTGATTCGGATCCTTCAACAAACCACAACAACCATGTATCGTATCATTTTCCTCAGTCAACAACTAACCACACAAACAACAAGTTAGTGTACAATTCTAAAGTATACGTGTACCGATGATCATCGGTACACGTATACTGAATGTTTTGAGGAAACTATAGTTTCCTAAAAAAACACTAAATTCCCCCACTAAATCGTTCTGCACAAACAAAAATGCTCTCATTACAATAACCGATCAAGCAAGCGATGTTTACAAACGAATATATAATTTACTGCCCGAATCACTGTACATATGAATGTATCAATTCTTCTTCTATTCCGCAAAAGCATTCAGAATCAGCAGTATTGCCCATTGATAAAAGTAAAAACATATTCATACACTCGTGTTTCACTCGATTTTTTTCAATTTGCTATCGAAACCACGAAATATGCTCAGAAATTTCGACTGAATGTTACCTGGAAGTAAGTGAAGAGAAAACAACAACAACAACAACGATCAAAATAACAAACTTTCAGCGCTCGTTGAAAGGTGCTTATCGAAAGTAATGCCAAATCTTGCTGTTCTTCAGCGTATCGTACCAAGTAAACGTACACCAATTTTTTCAGCTAAAAATTTCCACGAACTGATTGTGAGTATTTAAATTAAACTATTTATCATATCAAAAAATGTGCGCAATATAAAACAATGAAACAGAATAAAATACGGCTTCAACCCGAAATACAATACGAATAAGACAATTTTTATATCACATTTAACACAACACCGCAATGTGTTACTTACAAAATATAGTAATGAAACTGTACGATATATATAGTGAAAATTGCTACGATCGTTTCCTCCAATTTTTGTACTCGTTCACTTCACAGACGGATGAATTCTCATTTCACCTGTTCAACATAAGCGCGAACAAATCAAGGATGATGTAGCATTAAAAATGCTTCGAACAAAATAAACCACTGGACTGCGTACAACATTTCGTGAGAGAGAAAAGCTATCAGAAGAATGAATAGAAACGAACCTCAAGATTCTTAGCTGCAACATTCTTAACAACCGCTGGGAACAGTTCAGAAACGTCACGTCCTTTCGCTACCAACTGCAAAATTATAAAATAAAAAATTTTGACCAAAACACCCAAAACACAATTTCCAGACTGAGACAGTATCCACTTCTGTCTTCAACGAAAAGTCATCGATGCCCAATATTTATATGGAAAGAAAAGGGGATGCCAAGGCGATCGCATCAAACAAAATCCCAATCTCAATCAACTAAACTGAATGTGTATTGTTGAAAAAAACCGAGAAGATGCAAATTTTCGAAGAAATTCAAATATGCCTATAAATGCTCCCAAAATTTCTCAAAATGAGGTTTCAATTATAAAAATGATGGAAAAAAATTCTCATGACGAAATGTGCACTTACGTTGATAATGCGTTTCATTGCATCCACTTTAAGGCTATCCTTGGAGCTGTCCAACATCGTTTTCAGATCAGCAAATCGCCTGAAATCCGTAAAATCCGTGAAAATCGCCGCTTGTTTTTCAGAATTTTTCGATGAAGCAAAATACCATTTTTGGAAATTTTCGGCTCGAAAAACTTATACATTTTTTTCAACACCATACTTGTTATACGTTTCGAAACACCGAGAAATGACAGAAAAAATTTTCGAAAGAACTAATGGAAACAAGATTCAACGAACGAACGCTTTGTTATCCACTCCGATCGCGCCCCCCTCCGCAATTTCTACCTCGGGACTGGTCAGTCCCTCGGCGAAACTCGACATCTTCCTCGTGGTTCGACTCCACAGCGAAAACAACTCGTTAGAACCCCGATGGGTGTTGATTTTGCAACAATTCACAAAAAAATCACCTGAAATTCCACGCATTGAACGCTTATCAACCATCAGATTCGAATTTCTGTCGATCGCTTTTATCAGTCATTACACTTGAACACAACTCAAACGTATGACAACAGTACATTGACTACGCTCAAATGCCCAACTCATTCCTTGAAAAATCAAATCCCATTTGAGAATTAATTTATCACACTCTAATAATCAATCGGAGTACATTGTTGGGCTTATTTTGAGCTTTTTTCTTGCAAGTCATTTGTACAATACGGACGAGTTACTCTACAATACACGTTTATAGCACTAAAGCAACAACGTATCGCTTGCTGCATGCAAAAAATGACGTTAAGGAAGGAAGAATTTGATATTGGTAATGACAATTAGGCATAAATTCATAACCAGTTGTAATTGCTGACTGAATAAATAAATGACAGGCAAGTTTTCCGATGAACTTCTTCAGTTTCATCTCTAACTTCTCTCAAAATTCTCATTTCTTGAAGTCTTAAACCACAACACTATCAGTGAAATTTTTGTTTATATGCATGTGATACGAACTCGAGTGGATTTGAAACCACAAACAGCTGGTGCATGAAAGTAATCGGAGAAGTGAATTGGTTTATTTCGTTATCATCAAACAAACATCAAACAATACATTCACTCTTCATATAATATATACACAAATCAGCGCCAATCGATCGACCTTCAAAGATAAGATAAACACTTACAACAGTAATAATACTGAGAACAATATGAATCAACTCTTCGAATCATTCGTATGCCGTAATTTAAGCATTAAAAGATAACTGAAATATTTGTACAGCAAAACATATTTACATACCTACAGAATGCGTACCTTAGCACGAGGACTGCGTCGTGTCCGTGAGGACGGGGAGACAGAAATCCGTCTCCGTGCCAACCTAGCTACCGATGAATCAGATGAATAATGGGCACATCTCTGATACAGTTCAGGCCTAACCGATATTCATCACAGCCAGAAAAAGATAAAAACAAATCAGTTCTTAGGAATCTTACGATTAGACAATTGAAGTGTTAGCTGCGAATACAGAGGCAATATCCCTATCACGAACATCAATAAACTGTTCATCAGATTCAAGCAAATTATTCAAGCAAATATTATACTCAATTACCAAACAAATAAAATATCAAAGGGAATGGAATCACCACAGTGAATGACTCTCATCTAAACAATCATCATTTATGAAGTAACAGTGAAATTAAAGGATAAAACATTAACAACAACAATAACAACAATAATAATAATAATAACAATAATAATAATAATAATAATAATAATAA